TTTCTCTGTCAAATAAATAAATAAAATCTTTAAAAAATAAAAAAATAATAAAAAAAAAATAAGTGAAACCATATGAAAATTGACTTTCTCTGCTTGACTTATTTCACTTAGCATAATCTCCTAGGAGGAGCTTCTTAAATATTAGCAAGTACTGTTTCTAAACAGTCTCTTTGCTATTTGAAATTAGGTTATGTATAAAGTCTGGTACAGCTATTAATAAGATCTAATTTTCTTCCAGCTTTATTGAGATATAATTGATATACAACGTTGTGTAAGTTTAAGGGATACAATGTAATGATCATACATATGTGTGGGTATATTCATATCTGTCTATACATGTTTCAAAATGATTACCATGATAAGGCTAGTTAACACATCCACCACCTCAGACACTTACAATTTTTTTTATGGTGAGAACGATAAGATCTAATTTTTCTATTTTTTTTCCTACAAAATATATAGGAGAAATATATGGAAAGATTTGTGGACATAATGGCCAACGAAGTGGATGACATTGTGAAAAGCTAATTCTCTAAATCCTACAGAGTACAGGCATCTGGGATGGCAAATTTTAACATGTGCAAAATGCTGATCCTTCTAAAACGTACCATTTCTTTTTTCTTGCCTTCTTTCCATGTTCTCATTGCCACTATAGGGAAAGGCCCAGGAGGAGAAAATCCATTCCCGGCTTTTCCAACAATAAAAACTTATCAAAGAAGGTAGGAATGAGCATGAGAATAAGAGCCCAATGATATTTTTGGCATTGTAATTTCACATTCATCATGGTAACTCCCTCCTCGACTCCACTGTGCCCTGCCCAACCCCATTTTTTAATCAATGGTTCCCCTGTCTCCCACAATTATTCATACAGCCCTGCTGAATAATTTTCCTCCCCCTGCCTGGCATAACAACAAAGCTCAGAAGCAGGAAGGAACGCTGCTTAAAGGCAGGTCAGACAATGATGTAATTAACAGGGCAAGGAAAAGTGTTATTTCAGAAAGCCCCATAGGGCAAGAGATGGGCTGATTTCTTGGGTCAACACATTACCAGGAACTATAGTGGCTACAGCACAAATAGCTAAATCAAAATGTTTTCTCCAAGTGAATAAAAACACATGTATATATTACCCTGCCTTGTGAAAGTTAAAAGTTTCATACGGAAATTTTAATTAGAAACAAATTTAAAACTGGTTTGGGAGAGGACTCCCTTACATCCCACGCTAAACAAGGGGCAGCATGTGTATTTTTGTATGCCTTTGCCAAATTGGTTTCTTAAAAAAAATCAATAATGCAGGAAACCGAGTCAACCCACGAAGAACTGAATTCTGCACGTTAGATGCTAGGGATGTAAAGGTAGTTAAACCCAGTCCCAGCTTACAAAGAGTAAAGTAGTGGAGGAGATTGTTAACAGATAGTTTTATATATAATAATACACAGGACAATTTGTGGGTTTATAGCTTCAGCCATAAGTCCAGCAAAGAGACAAATGAGAGATGTCTTGTTCTATCTCCCCCCAAAGACAAAGAACCAGTTAATTAAAGGCCTGGGACTCAAACTCATGACTGCAGAGGAACTGGAAACCAGTAAGACACTGCTTTCAGAGTATGTTCTTTAACAGATGCTACAAGCCATGTGAATTGCAATCTCTCCAGCTGTGAATAAGAGAAGTCTATTTCACCGAAGTCATTGTGTTTTTCAGTTCAAGGATGGAGGTCTTGTCACATACGAGAAGTTTCTCATTCTGTGTTGCTAAAACATTGGCCACTTCTCTCTTTAATGTATTATATTAGTCTTCCGTGTTGTTAAAACTGCAGTGTGATGCATTGGGTTTAGAAGTACACAACGACCGAGCAAAAGCAAATGCCAAAGTTAATAAAAATAGAACATTAGTACAAGACCTCCCACATATACCTAAAGGTAAACAAGCAAATTAAAATGTAAATAATTAAATAAGTTAACTTTGGTGCTGTTATGCCCCTTCAAGTTACTTAATGCTTGGATGACATATGGGAAACATTATCCAAAAAAAAAAAGTCAAGATGAAAAACCTCTAACATACGCAGGTAAAACAACACAAATTAAAAACTGCCACTCCAGGGCACCTGGGTGGCTCAGTCGTTAAGCGTCTGCCTTTGGCTCAGGTCATGATCCCAGGGTCCTGGGATGGAGCCCCACATCGGGCTCCCTGCTCCGTGGGAAGCCTGCTTCTCCCTTTCCCACTCCCCCTGCTGTGTTCCCTCTCTCGCTGTCTCTCTATGTCAAATAAATAAATAAAATCTTTAAAAAAAAAAACAAAACAACAAAACTGCCACTCCAGAACAATGTCACTTCCAAGCTTACACCAATTCCTTCAGGACAGAGGGCGTATCTTACCCATCTTTCCATGTTCAGCATCTAGCCCACACCTGGCAAACAGTCAGTAGTCACTCGATCCCACAGTGGATAATTTCTTTCCAAGCGCATGGAGGAGAGAGAATATTAAAGGCCTGACTCTCATGTGCATTCCCTTCCAGCAATTCAAAGTCTAAAAATATTGATAATTTGCAACAGCTAAGGAGCTTCTATAAATTAAGGTGGGCCTATCTGGAAAACAAAATCTTAGGACTCAGGAGCAATGGCTGCAGATGCCTACTCCCCCCAAGCTCAAGGTGGAAAGCATGATTTGTGTGGCATCTTGGCTCCTTCCCCATATCCAAAATAATCAGTTGCACAAAGCAGGTTTAGTCCCAAAACTATTTGGACTTTGTTCCTCCACCAACATCTGGGTTCAGCATGATTCCTGACCTCTACCTCAAACTGGTGATTTCAAACACGAAGAACCTCACTCAACGAGAAAGTGATGTTGTAAGTCAAGGCCAGGGGAAACACGGAAGCCAGAATTCGCAGAAACACCACGGAGCAATGACTCTGGTGTCCTAATAAATGTTCCTAAATACCTAAAATATTAAAACTGCTTCTCAAAAACAAACATTTAAATACACTTTCTCAGATTAAAAGGACTCATACTGTTGAAGAGAAAGATCGTTTTCAGGAAGCTAAATGGTTATTATATAGATGAAATAAGCTTTTTTTCTTTTTACACAGAGCATAACTTTTCTCTCTGTTGTCAAGTTTGCCTCAGAAAACCTGGTTCACAATCTGGGAGACCGAAAAACTAATTATTAAAAACACACACACACACAAAAAAAACGACGTGTCTTAAACTGACCTAGTTTGGAAGCCTAGATGCCTTTAAATTGCCAATGAACTGAAGCCATTCATGAGAATGGAGCTTTTGAATGCTGAGAATGTTCTGTGGGGCTCAGCGCAAAGATATTTGGCATGAATGGCTGTAAATATTTGTAAAACTCTGGGTAAATGGACAGTGTTTGACCACACTCACACCTCACTTCCAGCACAGTAGTGCGGGAGAAAGTTATCTAGGGTGATTCGTTGGGGTTGGGTTGTTTTTTGTTTTTTGTTTTTTGAGGAGGGAGGTATATTTTCTTCTGTTTGTTTTGAATAAAAAGTCAAGCATCCCGATTCTGCTACTCTGACATCTTTTTTATACTTAACATTCTCTATACACAGTTACCTTGTATCTGTTTACTCATCAAGACAGTTTCAATTAGTCAGAGGCTACTTTAGAAACAGAAGGGTTTTTCTCTTTCCTATTTTTCCACGTGTGTGTCCACCACAAAGAAAAAAAGACCATCGCAGGTGTGCAAGGGTAGAAACAGGAGGCGTGTGACAACGTGGCCTTGGATTTAACACAATTATCTCAGTGTGGCCCGTGGGTCTGCTACATAGATCTTTCTTGCCCCCTCCACCTCTTCCTCAAGAGAGTCTCAGAAATACTTAAGGGGCCACTACTTATGAATAGGACTAAGGCTCCGTTCATAAGGGAAGGGAGGACAGAGTCTGGAGAAGGAGGGACCCACAAAGCAGTGGGATGTGAAAGGGACTAGGAGGCTCATCCCGTGAAAACTGCAACAGCCAGATACTTTTATTAGCCAGCAACTCAGTGAAGACTGGCTGGGTTCCTTTGGCCTCCTACCCACACCCTAAGAACTGAGTCATCTCTAAGTTCATTTATTTTGCTTCTGGGCCTAGGACCCCTCCCCACTCCCCCCACCACCACTACCACCACCAATCTGCTGCTTCAGAAATGTTAGATACATTGTTCTATAATTCAGACCTTGCAGTGTTCAAATAAACATCCCGAAATGCCACATTACAGAAACACAGACAGTCCTATGGGGACCCCCAGCTAATGTTTAGTAAGGCTGTACAGCAGCAAGAAATAAAGTGCCACACAATAGTGGCAGCAAGAAAGAGGAATTTTCCCAGACAGGAGAATTCGTTTCTGAGAAATCTGACTGTGAGACGTATATGCATCGGGAGTGGACTCACAGCAGAATCCCTGCAACTAGTAAGAAAAGCGAAAAGGTGCCCTGATAGAAGTCAGCTCAAGATCCCTTTTCTCTGCTGAAACGCAATCAGTTTCATTTTAACTTAAACTTGAGAATGGCAGTACAGGGTGAGAGAGAGCTTCACTCGGTGTTATCAGCAGTTACCTGACAAAACGCGATCGTGTGCGGCCAAGATCCCGGCTTACGCCTCGCTATGTATGTCAACATCGTGCTGTGCATTTCCAAAGCAACAGAAGGTAAGCGTCTGAGATGACGCCAACTCTTGGTGTCCCCTCCAGAAAGACACAGGGAGGTCTGATCTCTTGGATTTGCCCATCAGTACATTCTGCAGAGACTGTTTTGTTAGAAATCAGTTTCCCTGCACCTTGACCGAGGCGTCTATTTCTACAAGCTAACAGGTGTCGGAGGCGTTCGGAATGAATTGCGCGCTGTGCGGTTTAAGCACCGGAGGCAGGAAAGAAAGCTCCGAAGCAGGGAACCGTAGTCTCTGGTCTCTTTTTTTCTCTTTTTCTCTTTTTTTCCTTTTCCTAGTCCAGCACCCTGCCTGCCTCGCCCGGCGTGCGGCGTCTCGAGAGCTCGCGGAACCTACCTGGCACGAGGGCCCCGCGGGTCCGGGCGCCGCCGGGCTTCTCAGCAGCGTCCGCCGCGCGCCCCGCGGAGGCGGGTTCGCGTCATTCTCGCCCCGGCCCTCCGCGCTCTGCAGCCGGCCGCTCGGCGCTCCGCAGGACTGCGGCGGGACTCGGGCGCCCAGCCCCGGGGCGGGCGGCAGGGGAGGAAGGGGAGGGGGAGGGGGACGGCGACGAGGCGGAGGCGGAGGCGGAGGAGGCCCGACCGCGCACGCTGCTGCCCCGGCGAGCGGCCGCGCCGCCCCGAGCCCCGCGGAGCGTGGCGCGCAGCTCGCCGGCAGCAGCGCCGGGAGCCGCGCGGTGATTTTTACAGGAAGCGCAGGCGCCGCACTTCCTACTTCCCCTGTGGGTCGCACTCCCGCCGCAGGTGATGGTCTTTGAACCCCGTCCGAGCCCGGGCAGCGGCGCGCCCGCTCGCCCGCGCTCCTGCGCCCGCCGCCCGCTCGGCGCCGCTCCCTCTCGCCCCTCTGGGCCGCCGGCCGCCCAGATCCGGGGCAGGGCGTCCCGCGGCCGCCCTTCGTGTCCTTCGTCCTGCCCACACCGGGACGCTGCACCTCCTGGCCTTCAAGGCTTGCTGCTTGTCTGCACGTCTCCCGCTGGGCCACCTTTCCTTCTCTCTCCCACTTCTCAGGACCCCCCACCCCCGCCCAGCCTGCCTTCCCACCCTGGCAGAACACTGTTTTTTCTTTCTTTTTTTTTTTTAAAGATTTTTATTTATTTATTTGAGAGAGAGAGAATGAGAGAGACAGAGAGCACATGAGAGGGGGGAGGGTCAGAGGGAGAAGCAGACCCCCTGCCGAGCAGGGAGCCCGATGCGGGACTCGATCCCGAGACTCCAGGATCATGACCTGAGCCGAAGGCAGTCGCTTAACCAACTGAGCCACCCAGGCGCCCCGAAAACATTTTTTTTTTAAGATTTTATTTATTTGAGACAGAGAGAATGAGAGAGACAGAGAGCACATGAGAGGGGGGAGGGTCAGAGGGAGAAGTAGACCCCCCGCTGAGCAGGGAGCCCAACGCGGGACTCGATCCCGGGACTCCAGGATCATGACCTGAGCCGAAGGCAGTCGCTTAACCAACTGAGCCACCCAGGCGCCCTCATATAACCCATTTTGAATTTTCTTTTTCCTAGCCATTGCATTCTACAAGAGAGGGTATAAAAAGAGACTGTTTTCTTTTTCTTTTTTTTTTTTAAGATTTTTATTTATTTATCTGAGAGAGAATGAGAGACAGAGAGCACGAGAGGGAAGAGGGCAGAGGGCAGAGGGAGAAGCAGACCCCCTGCCGAGCAGGGAGCCCAATGCGGGACTCGATCCCGGGACTCCAGGATCATGACCTGAGCCGAAGGCAGTCGCTTAACCAACTGAGCCACCCAGGCGCCCAGAACACTGTTTTTATAGAAACACTTTCCAGGCACGTCGCATCAGAAACACCTTGTACCTGATTTGTGCTTTTGCGTCTACTGACAACATTAGAACGCGGGCAAATCAAAGCAGGACCGTCTTCGTTCACCTCCTCAAATAAAGGCACACCTTGATGACACAGGGATTTTGCTTGAAGTGCTTTCTCAACAAATGTATGTGGGAAACCCCCCCCCCCACCACCCCGTAACCTAGCCGGTTGTATTCAGTTCGAGAAAAGGTCACACAATAATCCAGAAGCTGTAGGGTATGCTATGATGTGCCTTCCTCACTCCAAAACCTTGGACACTTCATGTGTGTGATGTTTAAAACAGATGATAAAACCCACTCACTCCCCCCACCTGCTGCCCCCCCCCCTTCCCAGGTCCCAATCACAGTCCCAAATCTGTTGAATCACTACAATTTAGAAATGGCACTGCTCTGACACAGGAGTCTTCCCGTGCCTACTCTGCAACCTCACTCTACTTTTGCACGTCAGTCAGGAATGTGCTTCCTGAAAGGAAGGGGCTCCCTCGTCCTTTGTGGGGGGAATCTGAGCATGCCAGTGAAGTAGGGGGCAGTGGGCACCATTCCAGACAACACAAGTCTGCTGCTTCTCAGCCCTCCATGTTCAAGAAAACCTCCAGGTCAAAGCCAAGTGCTTGAAGAACACATTGTGCTGATGGTAGGCCAGGCGTAGGCCAGGCCTGGACCAGTCCATTGCCGGGGTGGGGAGGAGGCAGGCAAGGAAAGTAAGAGAACGAGCGCACAGCAGGGAGGAACCCAAAGGAATAGAATCAGAGGATATTTGAGACTGAAAAGTTGTTCTGGCTAGTTTAGTCCAAATGCCTAATTTTAAAGACAAGGAACCTGATGTCCAGGGAGATTTAAGTGGTAGGCTGGAACCAGATAGGACAGAGCTGGAATGAGACCTGAATTGTGTTAAGGGTAAAGGTACATGTTAATAACCACCCCCAAGGAGTCTAGTTTCAAACTTAACAGTAGCTTAGATTCTAATATAATCAACTCTGGGGCGCCTGGGTGGCTCAGTTGGTTAAGCCTCTGGGATCGAGCTCTGTGTTGGGCTCCCTGCTCTGCGGGGAGCCTGCTTCTCCCTCTCCCTCTCCTACTCACCCTGCTTGTGCTCTCTCTCTCTGTCAAATAAATAAATTAAATCTTCATTTAAAAAAATAAATAAAAATAAGTAAGAGAATACCTTGGTATTTTCTTAATGTAGTGGCCACTATTGATGGACAGGGAAGAGGAAAGATAAAGCACCTTCGAAGAGATTAGTTTATTCATTACTGTCAATACAAAACTTTGGCACCTTAGACCAAAGTTCAACGCAGAATCCACGTTTTACATTATCATGCAATTAAGTTATAATCTTTTGTCAACAGGATAAGGGAAGAAGCTGCTGCTGTGAAAACATACGTTAGGCAAAGAGAAAGGAAAAAAATTGTATAACTAAATAACATCAGCATCGATTATTTCCAATATGCAAGTTAATAGAAATTACATTAAAATTTTAATAGGACTAAGTAAACACATAGAACACTATAGTAGTATGTGAACAACTCTTTCAGATCCAGAATAAAATACCAAGGAATAAGTATAACCAAGGAGGCGAAAGCTCTGTACACTGAAACTATAAGATACTGATGAAAGAAACTTGAAGGTGCAAGGAATGGAAAGATGTTCTGTGCTCATGGACTGGAAGAATGAACATTTTTAGAATGCCCATGCTACCCACAGCAATCTACAGATTCGATGCAATCTTATCAAAATTCCAATGGCAATTGTCACAGAAATAGAACTTACAATCTTAAAATGTGGTATGGAAGCACAAAAGATCCCTGATAGCCAAAGCGGTCTTAAGAAAGAACAAAGCTGGAGGGATCACGGTTCCTCATTTCAGGCTATATTACAAAGCTATACACATCAAAACTCTTTCAGATCTGCCTAATGTGTCCACAGTGTGCATTCATTCATTCTCTTGAACATTTTTTTTATTCATTTGAGAGAGAGAGAGAGCAAGAGCGGAGGGCTGAGTGGGGGCCAGAGGGAGAGGAAGAAGCAGACTCCCCGCTGAGCAGGGAGCCTGACGCGGGGCTTGATCCCAGAACCCCAAGATCATGACCTGAGGCAAAGGCAGACATTTCACCGACTGAGCCAGCCAGGCGCCCCTCGAGTATCTACTGGTCTCCCTCCCAGACAAGCTGTTAGATGCTAAAAAGACAAAGATAAATTGGATGTGATTCCTGTCCTCAAAGAGCTCTTAGTCCAGGGAAGGAGTCAGACAAGAAAATCAATGATCAGTGTTCTATGATGAGTGAAATGGTAAACATGATGCTCTATGGGAGCACAGAGGAGAGCAATTCAGCTAAAGGAAAGGGGCTGGTAAAAAAGAAAGGCTTCCCTGAGAAAGTGACTTGAAGCTGAGTCTTCAAGCAGCCACGTGGGGAAGGAGGAGAGAGGAGAGTGAGCCTGATGCAACAGTCAGTGCAAGCACCTAGGTGGTGCTTGTCATGAGTCAGAGAAGAGGCATTCAGCATCAGAGAATGAAGGCCTGAACCATGTAGTGACAACTGGCCTAGAAAGGAAGGCGACAAATGGAGAGAGATTCGAGAAACAGAAGGGATGGGTCCTGGTATCTGATTGGATGTGGGAGGTGAGGGAGCGAGGGAGGAGCCACGAACTGAGAGTGGGAATAGAGGAGAAGGAGTCATATGGAAAATGATGATTCAGTTTGAATTCTTTAGAATCTGCAGTGCCTCTGGTACATTCTGGAAGACTTGTCTCATCGGCCATCAATAAAGAGATCTGAGGTGGAGAGTCTTTTAGGAATTAACATCATTTAGGTGGTGATCATGGATGAGCTCACCAGGAGCTGAGATCACCCACAAAAGGTAGCATGCTGTAGAGAGAAGCAAAGGCTTTGGACCCATACAAACTCTATTGCCCACTCATTACTGTGTAACCTTAAACAAGTTTTAACATACCCCAAACTCAGGTTTTCTCGTCTATGAAATAGGAATAATGATATTCATCTCGTAGGTTGTTGTAAGGGTAAACAAGAGGTTTGTAAAGTAGCTAGTGCAGTGCCTGAGGACACTACCCAAGTCTTTGGGGTTGGTCAGTGAACGTCACCTCCTGGAATTGTGCAGTACGCAACCTGCTCAGCTGTATAGCATGGCCCTGTCCTAATACACAGTAAGAACTCAGTCACTGTTACTCATCTAAGGAAGGGAAATGGGAAGCGGAAAGAAAGGAATCAGAAAAAAGAACACAGGGGCGCCTGGGTGGCTCAGTCAGTTAAGCATCTGACTTTTGATCTCAGCGCAGGTCTTGATCTCGGGGTCGTGATTTCAATCCCCGTGTTGGACTCCGTGCTGGGTGTGGAGCCTACTTAGAGAAAAAAAAAGAAAGGAAGAAAAGAGAACCCAAAGGAACCCCAGTATTTAAAGGGTAGGTAAATGGGAGCCCTCAAATAAACCTAAGAAGGAACTGCTTCTTTTAGATTGCAAAAATAAATGTAATATTTGATATCTTAGACTGAGAAATAAAATCCAGCCAACTACAATCTATAATAGCATTTTTCCTGAGCAATAACAGACGTGATACTACAAAGTGTCCACCTGAGACTGTAGTCATGCTGATATTCATAATGGAGAATCATTCCCTAATCTGAATTATAGACCTTCCTAAAGAAAAGCCAAACAAAATCTTCACATTAACAGTAAGTAATCCAAACTGTAACAGGAGTTCTACTAACTTGTGATATACCTAAAGTCATATAAGAGCAAAACCAAAATAAATCCAAAGCATACTCAAAGTTTTCACTACATAGGAGGCCAAAAATAAATATGGAAATAGAATTACTAGCTTTCTCAACATGTACGTGTAAGCTGCTACATAATAATACATAACATACTTTATGTAGTATATAATAGATATATGTTATAAAATGCAGAGGTCCTACATAAGAAGAGAATCAAGTGGAATTTCTTCTTTTCAAAACTGTTCTCTTTAATATAAAGAAAAATCAAGGGGCACG